CCCCCGATCCTCTCCAGCAGGACCTGAGTGGGGTTACAAGGATGTTCGCTTTATAATAATTCACTAACCTATTAAAAACAAAAAAACTTAAGGGACACAACTAAAGTAGTACTTAATGGACAACATTTGCATTTTTAAAAAGGAAGTTACAATTTAATAAGCTAAACAGTCAACTTATGTAGTTAAAAAAAAAAAGAACTCAAAGAAAACAAAAGACATATTTTGGAAAGATAAAGCCAAGTCTGATTAAAAAAATGCTGTTACTGCCAAATTAGAGGAGGATGAGCGACTGTAAAAGCTTGAGGAATAGAGTAAAAGAAACCTTTTCTGGACTCATACTGCTTCCCAAATGCCTACACATTCCTGTTCACTTGGCTCACACTGTCTATTCCTCCCGCCTCGAACCACAGCACACAGTTGGCAAGGAGACCCTGGTCTAATGGTTTTTGAAGCTCCAGAAGGGTCCCCAGCTTTCCCCTTTCCTTCCCAAAATGACTACACCCCACCTTTGTGCTCCCTCATACACCAAATATGCTCCTATTCAAGCATTTTATCATCTTTCAATTTCCATATTTACCTATCTCTACTGACCTGTAACCTCGTGAGAGCGACAGACACTGGTTGAATGAATTTGATTGATTAAAATAACAATCTAAAAGAGAATGGGATTGGTGGAAATGTGGTGCTATGAAAGGTACCCAAGATACACTATTAAGCAAGAATAAGTTTGTGCGTGTGTGCACATGTGTGTCTGGAATAGCACACACAGCAGTGGATACCTCCAGGGACAGGACAGGGGGTTGCAAAGGAAGATGACTTAACTCTTCCCTTTACCTCCTCTGTAGGATGTTAAATTTTTAACATGGCATTCATTACATTTATTTTAATGCTTCAACTATGAGTTCTTTAAAAATCATTTTGTCAGTGATCATTTTTTTCTACGAAAAAACCCACATATCAATTTTAAACCCAAGTATAATAGGTTTCTCTGGTGTCCACAGAATCAAAGCCATTTGCAAATGCTTCTACAACAACTAAGAGAGCGAAAAGCACAGTCATAGAATCAGCATATATTCAAAGTGGAAGTCATATCAGTCTTTTATTGAAGTATCGCAATGTCATTCACAGCACTCCTAGGAAATGAATAACAACCATTTCTATGTTACAAATTCCTCCATTTTGCATAAAAGTGGCCAGTCTTAGGGAGGCAGTACAATAGAGTGTGCAATGGACATGCTTTGAAATCTGAGTTGGAACCCAGGCTCTGTCACTAGTTGGGTGATGAAATTCAACCCGTCTAGGCCTCCGTTTCCTAGAGTGATGACAGTGATGCTGCCTGCCTGTCAAACTCTACCCCAGTACCTCTGCTGGAACACAAGCTTGCTTTATGTGCTTACGTGGACAAATATGTTTTACTTAAGTGACAATCACTTATGACCTCAAGTGAGGGATAGTACTGCTTAGGACCAGGCTAGAGTAGGTGGCAGCCACCTGAAGCAAACCATGAGAATTACAGGCACTGTGATGTGGCAGGTCCAAATCTTTAGTAACTGAATCTTTACCGATGCCATTGAGGTACACACAGAAAATAGAAAATCTGTATGCCACTAGTGTCACTTACAGCCAGCTGAGGGTGGGGACAGTGGGAGAGAGAAGCCACTCCTCCTATAGCCATGGTGCAAACTACACTTGACATGTGCACTGTCTCAGGTACTGAGAGCTAACTGGGGACCACCCAGCAAGGGTCCTGCTACCTGGGGCTTGGGAAGAGCCATGACAGTGCTGACTGCCTACTCCACCTGTCCCAAATCCCAGATCATGGAGTCTAGCTCATGAGTCATGGGCACACATGTCCAGGTACAGATTTGAATCAATTGTTTAGATTTATTGATTTAATAACTTTTTCTTTTTTTTGCTTGTCTTTAAAAAAAATATAGCAACAATCTACTTAATAGAAGTTATACTAGTTTTTCTTTTACAATGATCAGTTAAGGTCTCCTTTTAAAATGTATTTAAGTGTAAAAAGTGACTGAAAATTGAGAGACAACACCTTAAGCCAACAACTGCAGATTCTGTTCCTGATACTAGCACAAGAGATGTGCTCTAGATGGACGCAGCTGACACCATCTTCAACTCTGCCATCCATGAGGAGTGGCCCTGGCTGTGTATGACTTCCGCCGGGGCAACGTTACAATTCCATTTCTTCCATCTTTTCTAAATGTCCTTTTCATTACTTGTATCGTATTTAAAACCACAGAAAACATCTCAGCATCTCAGTTCGAGTAAAATCTCTGAATACAATGTGCTAACTTTTTAATAAAACAAGAGCTAAAGTTAAATGTGTGTAGTCTCCTGTCATTGTTCCTCCATCTTTTTTTTTTTTTTTTTTTGAGACAGAGTCTCTCTCTGTTGCTCTGGCTAGAGTGCCGTGGCGTCAGCCTAGCTCACAGCAACCTCAAACTCCTGAGCTCAAGCGATCCTCCTGCCTCAGCCTCCCGAGTGGCTGGGACTACAGGCATGCGCCACCATGCCTGGCTAATTTTTTCTATATATTTTTAGTTGTCTAACTAATTTCTATTTTTTTTTTTTTTAATAGAGACGATGTCTTGCACTTGCTCAGGCTGGTCTCAAACTCCTGAGCTCAAATGATCCTCCCACCTTGGCCTCCTAGAGTGCTAGGATGACAGGCGTGAGCCACCGCGCCCAGCCTCCCCTCGTCTTATTTTGAAAACGTTCCAAGCTCCAGAAAAGTTATGAGAATACAAAGGAGTGGAGAAGTTAGAACCCTCAAATGCTGCAGGTGGACTGTGAAGGGGTGCAGGCACCATGGAAAACAGTTTGGCAGTTCCTCCAAAAGTTAAACATAAAGTTGCCCAGCAAAATCCACTCCTCAGTTTATATACCAAAGAGAAATGAAAACATTTGCTCACACAAAAACTTGTACTAGAATGTTCCTATTAGCATTATTCTTAATAGCCAAAAGGTAGAAATAACCAAAATGTCCATCAACAGATGAAAGGTTAAACAAAATAAATATCCATTCAATGAAATATAAGGAACTGACACATGCTACGACATGCACGAACACTGAAAACATTATGCTAGGTGAAGAGAAGCCAGTCACAAAAGGCCACATGTTGAATGATTCCAGATATATGAAATGTCTAGAATAGGCAAATCCATAGAGACAAAGAAGATTTGTGATTGCCAGGGACTGGCAGGGAAGGGGAATAAGCAGTGACTGCTAATGGGTTCAGGGTTTCTTTTTGGGGTAATGAAAATGTTCTAAAATTGGATAGCAGTGATGGATGTACAACTCTGTATACTAAAAACTACTGAACTGCACACTTTAAAAGGATGAATTTTACGGTCTTTTAACTATATCTCTATAAAGCTGTTACTAAAAAAATACAAAAGAGACCTAAATAGCTTTCAACTACATTCAGCAATTATTAATATTTTACTGCATTTGCTTTCTTTCTTTCTACTATACAAATACATGTACGAACATATGCGCATACACAACTTAGGGCAGAACACTTTGCTCCAAAATACTTTAGCATACGGAATATTCTCTCACGTAACCAAAATACAAATATCACACTCAGGAAATTCAACACCAATACAAAACTATTAGTTAATATATAGTCCATATTCAAATTTATTTTTTATCAAAAATTATGCATTATATTTGGTTCTCATGTCCCTTTAGTCTTTTTTAATCTAGAAAAATTTTCTAGTCTTTATTCTTTTACGACATTGACAGTTTTGGAGAATCCAGCCCAATTGTTTCACAGCATGTCTCTCAATCAGGATATGCGTGATTGTTTCCTTATGAATCAATCTGGATTAAACATTTTGGCAGGAATTACTGCATAGGTGAGTTGTGCCCTTAGTGCATCATGCCAGGGGGTATAAAATGTCAGTCTCACTAGTGGGGATGGTAAAGTGTTCATTATTGGTCTTGATTAGGGTGGTGACTACCAGATTACTCCATTTTAAAGTTAGCTTATTCCCTTAGTAATTAGTAATGGGGGGGTGGGGTGACCATTTGAACATGTGTAAACATCAGGTTTCCCCAATTGTCTTTTACTCCAAAGTTTTAGCATCCACTCAAGATCTTTGCCTGGTACTCTATCCCTTTGGAGATCGCTGTGCACTGATGTGACCAATTACTGCTATCAATTTTATTTCATAGAGCACTGGAGCTAACTGTGATTTCAACCCTACAAGCACATGAGACTCACCTGTATCCCTGGGGGTGGAAACACGGCAATCTTATTTTTAAATTCCCCAGGGTGATTGACTCTGATATAGAGTAAGGGTTAAGATTCCCTGAGTCAGAGGAACCTTACAACACCCTCATTTTACAAATAAGGACACTGAGGCCCAAGAAGATTAAATGACTGACCAGTAGCACAAAACTGGCCAATAGCAAAAACAATGGCATAATTAAGATTTTACTTTTTTATACTTGTGTTTTAACATGCCACACCTTCTGCATGTTATTCAAAGAATAGAACCAGAAAAATGAGTAACTTGTGTAGTACGTTGTTAGAAGTGACCACCACCTTAAGTATGCTGCCCCCAGATGTGCACATTTCCGCTTTCAATGTTAATTTTGCCTTTTGTTCATCACACCTTTGCGGTCACTTTAGGAGAGAGGGAAAAGGGAGTTTGGTCTTCGGGCTCCTCCGCCCTCAGGGATTACTGCAATCTCAAGCCTGGGGGCCCCAGATGAGCGGCATGTTCAACGGGCCAGACGGTCGGACCTGCAGCCCCGGCGCCAGGCGCTAGCCACTGCTCGCGCCGCAGACGCGGCGGCGCCTCCTCTGGGGGCCCGTAGCCGGACAGGCGGCCTCGCGCGGGACGCACCTGGTGAAGATGTACCTGGCGGGGATGCACCTGGTGGCGCGCCCCTGCCCCGCCCAGGGACACTCCGACGTGCGCGGGACGCTAGAGACCACAGAACCTGCAGGCCCGCCTACGCCCCGACTTACCCCGGCGTGATAAACCTTATTCGCTCTTTTAATCTTGATGTCGAGGGAGGTCCCCATCTCAAATTCTCTGCAGCAGCCACCACTTCCGGCAGCGCGTGACCGAAAGGGAACGGGGGCGGTCCCGCTCCTCCACTCTGACAGTGGTGTCACGTGACCTCGCACCTACGTCGGACCGACTCCGCAGCTCGGAGAGGGCCTACGCCCCACGCCTTCCTCCTTCCGGCGCAGGAGCGGGCCTTAGCGCGGGGAGAAGGGCTATCACCCTTCGCCCCGCCCCTCTGCGCACGAAGGGCGGGAACATACTAGCCCCACCTCTTCCGTAAGGACAGTATTACGCCGGAAGTACTCTTCCGCCTGGTTTAGCGCAGTGGGGGTGGAAATTTTCGGCTCTCCCGGCGTGCCCCGCGGCAAGGGGCGGAGCCGAGGCCGCCTCGCGGGCCGTCCTGTGCTGGCAAAGTCAGGCCGAGGCTGTGTCGCTTGGGGGCGGCAGTATGGAGTTGGCTTTCGGGAGGTTATGACTAGGGAATGAATTCCGTCCGCAGATCTCCTTCCTCTCTTAGACTCTAGCCATCCTCTACTTCCTCCCTGGGTTCTGAGCAGGCGGCACCGCTCTCTGCCCTTCCCGCGGGAATCGTTCGGCTCGCCCGCAGGGGCGCGGCCCCAGCGCTCCTGGCCTGCAGGGCGCTGATTGGCGGGCGGCTCGCCTGCCCCGCCCCACTCCCACCGGGCCTGTGGCCAAGGTCTCGGGCAGCGCCGGGTGACCTCGCCCTGCTGCGGGCCGGGCGCTGGGGCGGCCGCCAGCCGGGCTCCGCGGGGCCGCGCGGGCTTGTGGGTATTCCCCAGGCGCGTGTCCTGGAACCGAGTGTCAGATTCAGCGCTGTGCGCCCCGCTGCCGGCCGCGCGGTCTCCTGCGCCTGGACGTGGGAAGGCACGGCTCGCAGTCCCCCGGGCCCGAGATTGGTTGGCAATGCAAGACTGGATCTGCCTATCCTTTTTATTCCCAGCAACAACTGACTGAAGTAGACTCAAGATACATATTGTGGTTTGGGGGGGCGGGGTACTTCCTCCAGGCATGACAGGCAATGTGGTGTTAGGCAACATACTACGTTTATTGAAATAAAATCTTTGGAAATCTTTTAAATAAGGACTTTTCCAATAAGCAGTAGGTCAAATTCTATTATTTTGGGAAACGATTTAATGAAATAATGCGGTGAAGAAATGCTTGTTTAAATTCCTTGCTTCTGATACTTGTTTTTTACAAGTGCATTATTTTGGGAATCACATCAGAATTTTCTATAAAATGATTTCATGAATTAGTGTCACGAATGCCTCCCTCTTGAGAATTTAAGTGTTTTATACACCAACAGTGATGGTACTACAGCTACAATTGCTTTTGAAAGTTGATAAATGTGATCTTTCCAAATATTCGGGTCTCAGTTTTCAGCTCCTCTCTGCCCTCAGGGCTTTGGTCTCTGTCTTGAATATTTTCCCGGCAACTCAAACTTTGTAATTCTAGAGCAATCCATTAGGGACTTAATCACAGTCTAGTCTATTTGAATTCGAGAAGTGTATCTCTCTCCACTTTACCATCATTTTCAACTGGTAGAAAATCAATCTCTGTAGACAGTGCAGGGAAGCAGGAAAAGAAACACATGTGCCCACATACTATATGTGTTTGCTCCAGTAAACCTGCTTCATACTTTGGAACATTTCTTGGTCCTTGAGGATGGGTGTGTCATATTTTACTCATCTTTGTAAGGTGTACATAATTTTTGTGGAATACCAGCGCAGTTTGAAGAGCTCTGGTTCTAGCAGTTACCAGTATAATCAGTTTATTGAGCCCTCTGCATATGACGGCTTCTGAATTTAAAACAGTCCATTTTTCTGCCATCGCTGCCCTTTTTAATTTTTTTCCATCCCTCAACCACACCTTAGGTGATACCTTAACTTCCTGGTCCATTTCAGTTACTAAAAATCAGACCATATTAAAGTGTCAATCTCATGACTTGAGTTGAACCCGAGATCCTTAGTGGGGGTGGAAAGTTGCAAGTTGTGATTGAGCTCTCAGACGCTTCCTCAACATCTCTCTTCAAGGCCTGGCTTTTGTATTGAGACACGGAAGAAGAGAGGACATGAGGCAAGTGTCTCTCAACTGCCCACTGCTGGAGTTTTCTGATTCCTGCTTCTCTGGATAACTGGCCGTTGCTTGAAACTCCTTCCACGGGTCACAGATGGGAAAGCTTAGTGGGGTCTTCTCCCTCTGTACAGTTCCATGGGAGATCTATCTCCAGCTTGATCTTTTCCATCACCCCACTTGCAGCACCCGGCAGTACAGTCTCTTAGGTGAGGTTCCAACATGACAGCTCAGGACTATTTATATTCCACATGGTCTACTTGCCCCCTGAGAAATACACACCATTGCACACAAAAGTGCGGAACTGAAGGCTACCCCATGACCACTCTTCTCTCCCCTGCCATCCCTCTTCAGTCTTTTCATTCCCTCTTGAAATACAGACAGAGATAAATCAGTAAGAATACTGACAAAACAGATCTGCAAGCAACAAATGGAATACCAGCCTCCCCTTCCAGTCAGCCCCTGATAGCTAGGAGAGGTTATCGTACAGCCTGCCCCACTACATCCCTTCCCACCAGCACACTGCACTCTGCAAAGGACTGACTGTCTCCTTTCCTTTCCCTGCCTTCTGTATAGACTGGGAAGGGGAGGACTGGGTGGAAGTAGGACTAGATCTGCAGCTTTTTGTTAATCCCCAGGCACAATGTCTGGCCCCAACTGTAGGCATCTTTCATTAGACGATGGGGTACTATGCCTGTTTTTCAGTTGTGAGCCTCGTGCCAATTCTGGGACAACAGGAGAGGTCCCACTGTACCTCCTTGAGTAGGTGCTGTGGTTTTCTGCCCAGACTCCTCCTTCAGGACTGAAGGACATGTTCCCTGAGCTGCTAAGTGTGTTGATCTCAACAGCTCTCAGCTAAGTCACTCTTCAAAACTTTCCCTTAGCTAAAGAAAACTGCCTTGCCCAAGGTCATGTCCCCTTCTCAGAGGCAGCCCACACCGAATGACTAATCAACTTAGAATATAAAGGTCTCTTTCCCTTGCCCTAGTTTAGGATAACTCTGAAGGACCATTCCAGCTCCAAAGCTCCCAGTATTAGTTATATATCACTGTGTAGCAAATTACCCCAACATTTAGTAGTTCAAAACAACACACATTATCTCATAGTGTCTGTGGGTCAAGGAACTCAGGAGTGGCTTAAGCGAGTAGTTCTTGCTCAAGGCCTCAGGTAGTTGCAGTCAAGATGTTGGACAGCCGGACACAGTGGCTCATGCCTCTAATCCTAGCACTCTGGGAGGCCGAGGCAGGAGGATCCCTTGAGCTCAGGAGTTTGAGACCAACCTGAGCAAGAATGAGGCCCCGTCTCTACTAAAAATAGAAAAAAATTATCTGGGCATGATGTCAGGCACCTATAGTCCCAGCTACTCAGGAGATTGAGACAGGAGAATGGCTTGAGCCCAGGAGTTTGAGGTTGCTGTGAGCTAGGCTGATGCCATGGCACTCTAGCCTGGGTGACAGAGTGAAACTCTATCTCAAAAAAAAAAAAGATGTTGGACAGATCTACTGTCACCTGAAGGCTGAACTTGGATTAGAAGATCCACTTCCAAGACAGCTTCTTCATGTGGCTGACGTCAGGAGCACTCACTTGAGAGTCCTCTCAATGTGGCAGCTAACTTCACCCAGACCGGCAATCCAAGAGAGTGAGCAGGGCCTGCAACACCTTGTGTGGCCTAGTCTCTGAAGTCTCACAGCTACTTTTCTTCTCTTATTAGAAAAGAGTCACTAAATCCAGCCCAGAGTTGGGGAAGGGCTCTACATTTGGAAGGGAGAGCCAATGAACTTGTGGACATATTTTATACCACCATGTTCCCCCTCGAATGGGGAGCCTTTGTTGTGATTCCATCACTGTTCAACTTCTTCCTCTGCCCAATCCTGCTTCTTACACCGCACCCCTCTGCACTCTTTCGTCCAGAGATCACCCCAAGTAAACTTCCTGCACATTGACCTCCATCTCGTAGTCTGCTCTCCGGCAAGCCAACCTGCGACAATCCTGCTACACTAGCCTCATGACTTGGCCTCTCGTAACAATTGTATGGTATAGAACAATTACTATCGCCTCAATTTACAGAAGGGAAAAACTTAGGCACAGGAAGATTAATGTACTTGCCCAAGGCCGTGTAGCAAATAAGCGGCAGCCACCCATTCTGACTCTAAAGCTCACATAGGCAATCACTGATCAACGTGCTACATATATGTGCACACAACAAATGCCTGAATGTGTAACAAGGGGGCTCATGAGATCTTAATTAAAAGACTGGACAAAAGACTGCCAATCAAATATGAAAATCAAGAAGGGGTGCAATGTTGTAGTCAAAGGCAATCTGACAGAAGGGAATAGAGGGTCCTCGTGACAACCGATAGTGAAGACACAATATTAAAACCATTGCAGAATAATACAGTGTTTCAGTTTTGCAGGACTTCCATAACAAAGTGCTATAAACTGGGTGACTTAAAACAACAGAAATTTATTCTGTCACACTTCAGGACACTACCCCTTCAAAACCAAGATGTCAGCAGGGTTGGTTTCTTCTAAGGATTGTGAGGAATTGGTCTGTTCCAGGTCTCTCTCCTTGGCTTGTAGACTGCCGTCTTCTCCCCTGTAAACCTTGTGTTTACAAGGTCTTTTTTGACGTGTCTTCACGTTCGCATGATGTTCTCTCTGTCTGAGCTTCTGATTCCAAACTTTCCCTTCCTGTAAACACATCGGTCCTATTGGATTAGGGCCCACACTAATGATCTTTTAAAACTTGCTTACCTCTGTAGAGACCTTATTTACAAATACAGTCACGTTCTCAGTTCTAAGGTTAGGGCTTGAATTTGACAGGAACACAATTTAACCCAGAATATATCACAACAAAATATGTACAACAAAAACTTCAGACATCTAATGATAAAAGCACAGGGAGAGTTGGTAAGAGATATTAGCACAGTCTATCAGAGATTGAGCTGATAAAAAGAAAGATGAAGATTTTAACAAAGAAGAAGTACAATTAGTAAGTAAGACAGAATCACAGGGAATTCACTTTTCAAGTGTCTGTGGTGCATTTGGAGGCATGATTGCTTTTAAATCATGCTCCATCCTCATGGATGGGATTAGTACCTTATAAAAAGGATTGAAGGGAGCTAGCTGGCCCTTTTGCTC